TCATTTAAGATGTAATTAACTATAGGGGCTTGCCCTTATAGGAAGCATGTCCGAACCCAGCTTAATATAAACCCTATTTAATCCTTTATATTAAATAGAGGAACTTGTCGGCAAATACAAAGGTTTCACATACCAAACAGACGTCATAGTTTCCTTAGTTTATTTTGATCGAACCTCATCCTCAATTCTTGTGTTTATCCTTCGGGATAGATACAAGATTTGAGGTACAATGCTCTTTCATTTTAAACTATGAAAATATGAGGTCAGTTTGATTTCATACTTCAACGTCCTTCTGAAGCGGGCGACGGGATTTCGATTCCAGCGACCGACAGCTTCTTATGGGCAACCTCACAAACCAATCCCCGAAATAACGCCAACAGAGAGCTAGTATCTTCCCTACCTAGCCCATCTTCAAGACTATTCAAACTTTAAATTAGCCAATATTTTTTATATCATCTCTTGTAAGGGTAAATAATACTACTGCTCCTGTTTCACATAACACAATTTGAATACTTTCACAATAGAATTTCTATACTTGTTATTGATTCATGATAAGGAAAAAGATATTTTATTTATATTATCTTCATCTTATAAATATCTAGTTAAATTTAGTTAGTTGTTTACTTTATTTTCAATTAAAAAAATTACCAAAAAGTATTAAATTTTCATTTCTATTATAGCATCTATAGTTTGAATAAAAATATTTTGTAAAGTAGAATTTATTATCAAATTTCTTCTGATTTAGTTAGATATTGATTTCTCTCTATGGGTTCGATATTCAGGGTTTATTCAAAAATTCATATATTACTTGATAACGATATGCATACTTGCGTAATATTCCATATTTTAATATAATAAGTGCATTCTTTTTTGCTTTAAAGTCAAGTTTTGTATAGTCGTTGCAAAATAAGAAATATAAGCAAGGAAAAATTAAGAATATAATCACATACATCTTATTGTCATATAAGATCGGGATCAGAGCCCGAATCCACCAAGATGCCAGTTTGGGAAGCCCCACACTCGACATGTGGTAGAGTCTTCGTACCCTTATCCGATGAGGGATCCATTATTCAAGCCAGATCAAAACTATTAAAAGAACATGCCTCTCCAATCTCCCACTTCCCCGATGCAAGAAGAGAATCAGATTGGAAGGTATTCTTCAGAGAATGGTCGGGGATAACTCCTTGATTGGTTATCTCTGGCACTGCTAGTAGCATTAAATTGAAAGTCGACGCTTGATCCAATCTTTCCGCCCAATTGGGAGAGACCAAAGGGTTCACCGACTGATCAACTTGATTGTCATCTAAATGGCTTTTTTCCCATCATGCACACTTTTTTACCGAGAAACCCCCTTCTATCTTCGAGGATCCCCTCTGCAGAACTACTATTTTGTGAATCCAAAGAACCTATTTCACCCACCGGTTCAGAAGCATTCAACTTAGGCTCGACACGACCGGGCCGCTCAACCTTAGAAACTATCTTGACCCACTTCTTCATTTTCTGAAACACCAAAGTATGTGCCTTTTCACTAAAGGATTAGAAGGTTGTCCGCCCTCCATATTTTGACACCACTGAGAAGACGAATGATCAACACAAAAAAGTATGATCGAAAGACAAGTCTCTCCATTTTGTTATCTTTATTTATAATGCTCTTGGCACATAAAATAAGAAAAAATTAATTATTGCGCATTGAATAATCATGAATACCACAAAATTGCTTTAAGAACTTTGATTCTCTTGTGCTTATCACAGCTGTCACTATCAAAAAGCAAGAGAATCAGAAAATGTTACTATGTATATTAAAAATATGCAAGCACATAGCTCAAATATAACTTGTAGTCGGTGGAAGATGTGACATGACATCCCAGGGCTCTCCAAAAACGATCCAGAACCACAAGCCTAGCCGACCGACTCTCACGTATCATGAGGATAATACTTCCCAGTCTGATAAGAGTAGATCGGCTCCTAAAGAATATATCTAACCATAATCATGCAGACGAATCCAACGTTCTCTACCATGGACAGACCAAAGAGCAAACGGATCGTCTAATTCTAGACAGTTCTAGAGCAGTTGACACCAATCCTCAAGAAGCAGTTTCCCGGCCTAATGGCCACCCAGCCTCTTTCGCCAGATGTTCGTGGCCCCCCGGGCCATATTTATGTATACACTAAAATACCCTCGTCGTAACTACGCACACTAGATTTACTGTATGTAATTGCACAACCCATTATTTATATAACTATGGATTCCCTTTCATGAATACATATTACACAAATTTACTGCTTCAATAGTGTGCTTTTGCTCTACTTACTCTCAATCTGTCTTTCTCTTCCTTCAATATTCTATTCTTTTAAGTGTCTCTGCACAGTAATGAATTCAACCCTCAACTTTATGCTTGAGACAAACTTTAGTGACAAAATATTAAGGATACCTCATATTCAAGTTACAGGTTAAATTAATTAAGAATAAATTAATAAACCCAATAATCTGTTCTCTGAATTCTAAAGGAAAGAACAAATATGAATACTTCTAGATCTTTCTTTCCTAAACATCCAACGGCCAAGATTCCATCAAATTGGCAGTTTTCATCCACCGCTAATGTTTTTCATGAAATTATGATCACAAACAATGAACGGTGAGCCCTTAATTTAGGTGCGACGAAAGATTTTAGCAATTGCTTCGCAGCGACTCTATTTATTCTCCGTCTCCAACAACTCTCTTCTTCTAAATCTTCGCAGCTATATTTTCTCTTCTTGGATTCGACTCTTGCGATTCAGTTCAGATGGCGAATCAGGGAGAGGGATCATCGGATCCGTAAGAACCCTGCCTCCGATCTACTTTGTTTCAGTTTTCTTGTTGAAATCTTCTCGCCATGATGCGTTTTTTATGTTTTTTTTTTCTTCTTATCTAATGGTGGGGGATTTAGAAAATCGGTGAAGAAGGACTTCAGCACGGCGATTCTGGAGAGGAAGAAATCTCCCAACCGTTTGGTTGTTGATGAGGCTATCAATGATGATAACTCGGTGGTTTCAATGCATCCGGAGACTATGGAGAAGCTGCAGCTCTTCAGAGGAGATACTATTTTGTTGAAGGTAATGATTTATTTGGGTTGCTTATTGTTAGTTAATGTATATTTGATTAGGTTGTGGATTAGGGTTTGGCTAAGAAATGAGGCATCGGCTGTTCTGGGACTTGAATTTGTTAGTTTTGAGGATGGTTCCAGCACATCACGGAGGGAGAAGTAATTGTGGTTGTGCTTAAACTTTGTTGTCTGGATTTTTTTTTATTTTTTTTATTTAATTTCTAGGCATGAAGAACTTCAAATCTTATTCGGGAAGGAAGAAATAACTTGAAAGATGCGCTTTTGATAGGGTCAAGAAGAGTTTTCTGTCTTTGAAAGCCAGACTGAACATAAATAACTCAAAACTAGACAGATAAAAGTTCAAATTTTTCTAATATTTGGGAGGAATCTTTTATCTGCTCTCTCCCTTTAGATTAGAGTTTCCATAAATTAAGTACTAAAATGCTAAAAATTGATTAACTCGTTTCTGCCGCAAACCTCGAATTGATCTCTACTTTCGCTTTTTGGGTTTGTACTGAAATCTAGCATGCTTGAACTTTTATTTTCTTGCACCATGGTTAGATTGAAATTCCTTTTAAGCAAACAATCCCTTCAATCTAGTTAGATTGTTAGAGGTTCCATTTATCATATAAGTTAAGGAGGATTCATGCACATGCCACCAACATATATCCTAATAAAACGACCATCCATTGAAAAAACATTGAACTAGCAAATCTATGTAGTTGTGTGCGCCAAGACCATTGGGAATATCAAATGGGCTGGGGTTTTGCTTTGAATTTCATAATTTGGTGAGAATTTAACGATTTGAGGTAGGAGGGTATTTGATGTGCTGTTAGCGAAGATTTGAAAATATCCATGAAAAGGGCCCTGTAAATTTTTTTTTCTTATGGGAAAAAATAGGTTTAGCAGAAAATTAGAGGCTAATTGGGGGATGGTAACTTGTAATTTTTAGGATAATAATTCTACTAAATAATTTGAATGATTGGCATATTAACACATTTTAATTAGAAAACTTAGAAATTGATTTGGTGCATAAAGAATTAGGGAGATTTTGCATATTAATGCATGATTGTTATGTATTTACATATATAACATCCAAACTTTGATATTTATTTAAATAACATTTTAGAGTCTCAATCACATTAAATATATGCTTGCAAAGGTGTATTTCACTTTAGAAAAGTTAACCTTTGTGGTATTTTTTATGTGATTTAGAGATTTTGGTCTTATCCAAGTAATTATCAAAATATTTGTGTTGGATATGCAAATACATAAGAATTTTGTGGAAAGTTTGTAAATCCATCTAAGCATTAATGGGCAAATATGTGGTAGTGCTAAATTTAGAAATCTTAGGAGTCAACATTCTTAAGGGATCACTGGCCGCTAGTAATTGGAAAATTGCCTTAAAATTGATGTTCCTGAAAGAAAAAACATGAAAGATATGAGTTGCTTGATTGTGTTTTGATTCTTTGGGTTCTTCCTATGATGGTTCTTAAGAATTCAAGTGTATGGTTGGATTTTGCATGTTGATGTCTCTAATATTTTTAAGGTTTCTTTGGCTTTTAAAGTGATATCTTATCTTGTTGTAGTAATGGAATGGATGCAGTTATTATAATGCACTCAGTCTACCGGTTGAATTAAGTTTGGAGTATTTACTTGGTGTCTTTTGGGTCTATTTTGTGTTTTCTGTAATTATTGGTTGTGTATGCTTATTCTGTTTTGTTTACTTTTATAGGGAAAGAAAAGGAAAGATACAATTTGTATTGCCCTTGCTGATGATACATGTGAGGAACCTAAGATTAGGATGAATAAAGTTGTGAGATCAAATCTTAGAGTGAGACTTGGTGATGTTGTTTCAGTACACCAGTGCCAGGATGTCAAATATGGAAAGCGTGTGCACATTCTTCCAATTGATGATACCATTGAAGGCGTTACGGGAAATCTCTTTGATGCATATTTGAAGCGTGAGTTATTCTCGTCATTAGATTGAGCAATTTTTCTCTTCTACATGTATTTTTTTATTTTATTATTTTTTTTTTGTGAGTCACTTAAACTTGTAATCTGTATTCTTTTGCAGTTTGATAATTTTTCCTGATGGGCTTTGAGTCATGTGATATCTTCTGTATTGGAAGAATCATTATGCCGACTTGCCCTATAAAAGCTCTCTCTTTTTATTAAGCACGGATTTTATTGGGTTTATATCTATAGTTACGAACTTCCATTTGATGATGTTTGAATAATTTTACAATACATACTAGGCTTTTTCTAACTTTTTTGAACCAGTGCTGAATTGGTCTTTATCTAAATTTTGTCTATTTATTTTTTTTTTAAATTATGAGCTTTTGTTTAATATTGTTACCTTAATAATTTCATCACTAACCTTGCCTCCTACTATTTGGCATTGGCTTGTACTGTATAGTTAAGTAAACTCTAATACCCAATGGCCTTTTGCTCAAGCAATGTATTAGCATGACCCCTTGGTTCATGACTTGTCATCCATGACATGAAGGTTTTGTTTTGCTACCGTGTGTGCTTAAGTTTGCAATTTGTAAGCTTATTTTTTGCTCACCTTTTTATTGATACGCAAAATATTTGAGATAAAATTTATTCTTCTTAACAAAAAAAAAAAAAAAAAAAACTTTATACCTTTGCTATATGCTTCCTATGATTACTTTGACTTTTCAATTATCTTTTTTTTTCACTACAAATCTCAATTATATCTTTCGGCAGATGTGCTCTTTAAGTTGAATATTTTGTAATTTGTACAATACATATTAGAAAGTTGTGATGCTCCCAGTCTAATGAGTTGAGTCCTAGTTGGACTATGTGGGGCTTATTTGTGGGCTTGAATGGGCATTGCATTTGAAATGAGATTGCTATTTTTGTTCGACAAAACATTTTGGTAGGCACCTTTTTTCTTCCTACTATAAATCAACAATTTCATAAGAAACGACTACCACTGTCACTATTGGAGTTTTAATTTTGTAGTCTGTAAGGAGAATTCTGTCAGCTTCACATTTCAAAAAATTTTATTATTTCACTTTCCTATTTCTCTTGGTTGCAATGATTTTTCAAAAAGGATGATTTTCACAAAATGAATTTCGTTGTCTGTTGATAAAAATAGTCTATTGTTCTTTAAGAATATTCAAATTACTTGTTGGACTAGGGGGGGGTTATTTGTGGGCTCAAGAGGGCATTGCATTTGAAATGAGATTGCCCATTTTATTTGACAAACCATTTCAATAAAACACATTTTATCTTCCTACTATAAATCAACAATTTCATAAGAAAAAACTCCCACTGGAACTCTTGAAGTTTTAATTTTGCAATCTTTAAGCACGATTCTGTCAATTCCACATTTCAATAATTTTTAGTTGTCGTTTAACTTGCTTATTTCTTTTGGTTGCAATGCAATGATTTTACAAAAGGATGATTTTCACAAAATGAATTCCGTCGTGTCTTGATAAAAATAGTTGACTGTTATTTAAAAGCATTCAAATTACTTGTTAAGTGGCCCATTTAAGACCCCGTTCAAGTCTCGTTTTTCATTCTTTACCAAATTTAATTTGGAGGACAACATATTTTAATGATATGTTGTTTGCATTTTGAATTCTCACTTCATGTCTTATATGTTATAATTCATTTTAATGTAGCTGCAAATCATCCTTTATTGATTTTGTTGGATTTTCACAAACTATCATGATTAATTGAAATTGTGCATATAATCAGTTTCTTTTAAAGATAATCTTTACTATTGTTAGCCTTATCCCAACTAGAATAAATATTATGAATTATTTCTGTTCATGCAAATGGTTGAGTGTTTTATGAGTAAACTTTATTTTGAGCAATAAATATTTTTTTTTAATTTGTAGAGCTTTAAAACTGTAGTATTTTTGGTCTATCCCAGTTCTCTGTTCACCTTCAATTTTATATATACTTGGCTAGTTGATGCATATTTTGCATTCATTTTGCACGCTTAAGCACCTAACTATTGAATAGGTGTTCCCCTACCCGCTTTCCTACTAATGTAATTATTTCTCATTCAGTTCATTGTACCTGTTGGTACTTGCATTCATATATGCTACCCGATTGGTTATAACTTTTTGCCTCTCTATATCTGTAATCAGTTTATTGTTTGTCGTTGTTTAAAATTTTTTATCTCATATCCATGTAGATCATGCTAGCTGCTTTTAATTCTTGAACCTACCCCATGCGTGTTGCTGTTGTTGGGTCTAGATGGGCTTCTTAATCTCTTCATCTTCTCTCTATTCTGTTTGCAGCATATTTCTTGGAGGCTTATCGTCCTGTAAGGAAAGGAGACCTTTTCCTTGTTAGAGGTGGCATGAGAAGTGTAGAGTTCAAAATCATAGAAACTGACCCACCTGAGTACTGTGTAGTTGCTCCTGACACTGAGATCTATTGTGAGGGTGAGCCTGTTAAAAGGGAAGATGAAAATAGGCTGGATGAAGTGGGTTATGATGATGTTGGCGGTGTTAGAAAACAAATGGCTCAAATCAGAGAGCTAGTAGAACTTCCCCTTAGACATCCCCAGCTTTTCAAATCTATTGGTGTTAAACCGCCTAAGGGCATCTTGCTCTATGGACCTCCTGGTTCTGGCAAGACATTAATAGCCAGAGCAGTTGCAAATGAGACTGGAGCCTTCTTCTTTTGCATTAATGGTCCTGAGATTATGTCAAAACTAGCTGGAGAGAGCGAGAGCAATCTTAGAAAGGCTTTTGAAGAAGCGGAGAAGAATGCTCCATCAATTATTTTTATTGATGAAATTGATTCAATCGCACCCAAGCGTGAAAAAACTCATGGTGAAGTTGAGAGGCGCATTGTTTCTCAGCTTCTGACATTAATGGATGGCCTCAAATCTCGTGCACATGTAATTGTTATTGGAGCAACAAATAGGCCAAACAGCATTGACCCTGCCCTTAGAAGGTTTGGCAGGTTTGACAGGGAAATTGACATTGGAGTGCCTGATGAAATTGGACGCCTTGAAGTCCTCCGGATTCACACAAAGAATATGAAGCTGTCTGATGATGTAAATCACCTTCGCCAACCACCTTTAACTACCATCACCATGTTTTTTTTCCAGCCATCATTATCCATCTTATATTTGCTTATTCTTCAAATTATTTTCTTGCTATGTAGGTTGATCTTGAAAGGATTGCCAAAGACACTCATGGATACGTTGGAGCTGATCTTGCAGCGCTTTGTACTGAAGCTGCTCTGCAATGCATCCGTGAGAAAATGGATGTTATTGACTTGGAAGATGAATCAATAGATGCTGAGGTGCTCAACTCTATGGCTGTCACTAATGAACACTTCAAGACGGCTCTTGGATCTAGCAATCCATCCGCACTCCGTGAGACGGTATTGTCTTAAGATTAATATTCTCATTAAATTGTTGTGTTTGGTCAATGATTATCTTTTGTTGGCAGGTTGTGGAAGTTCCCAATGTCAGCTGGGAGGACATTGGTGGGCTGGAGAATGTCAAGAGGGAGCTGCAAGAGGTATCAAGGAGAACGAAGTTGTATCGGTTATCATTAGTAGTTTTTTATAAACTCACAGCTAATTACCAGTGCTTGTTATGTCTTGCAGACTGTCCAATATCCTGTTGAACACCCAGAGAAGTTTGAGAAATTTGGGATGTCTCCTTCAAAAGGAGTGTTGTTCTATGGTCCTCCAGGCTGCGGTAAAACTTTGCTTGCAAAGGCTATTGCCAATGAATGCCAAGCCAACTTCATCAGTGTCAAAGGTCCTGAGCTGCTAACCATGTGGTTTGGTGAGAGTGAGGCCAACGTGAGAGAGATCTTCGATAAGGCCCGGCAATCAGCACCATGCGTTCTTTTCTTTGATGAGCTCGACTCAATCGCTACTCAGGTCACCATTGATTGATATCTTGATCTCTTTTGCGCCTCTGGTTCTTATTACTTCGAACATTTGTTTGTATTCACGATTGCTTTCTTTGTTATTTACAGAGAGGTAGCAGTGTTGGTGATGCCGGAGGTGCTGCTGATAG